TCATTCTTGACAGATGATACGTCGGCTCGAAAAAGTTAGATCAATGTTCAACTGAATCGCACGGTTTGCATTAAAAATAGGATCGGGGTTAGTAAGAAGTGCTAGACTATCCCTCGGGTGCAAGGCCCAGTTATTTTGGATACGCACTCCGTTCTTATCGAGTTCATAAACTATGTCGGTGTACACGAAATCGTTGGTAAAAGTCCATAAATGCCGTGTCGGTTGGGTGTCCATTGGTAGAAGTCTATAAATACTCATTTCAAGAAAGACCCGAAATTTAAAATGGTCATTATATATGTAACATCAATGGCAGAGGCTTGGAATAACCAGATTCACACGCATGACATTGCATGTGTCATGGGAGCCGGTGAAGGCTCGGATTGAGTTGCACGTGTGAGTCTTATCTCATATCATGGCATGACGTAGAGGATTTCATTATTGAATTACATATTATTGAATTGAATACTTGTTGCTTGTGAATTACATATGAATATTTCATATGCATATAGGTTAGGGAATGACTAAAATTAATTTTAGATTTAATTTGTGTCTTCTTTAGATAAAAAGTGCGTATAATTTATGTTAGCTGTCGTACTAGATTCTCTTCACAATATAATAATTTATGTCTTCTGATCTTTTTTTTTTTTTGACAAAAACAATAGAATATATATTAAGTAAACAAATTTGAACAAAGGAATGGCACTATAAAGTCTGGTGCCACATCCTCCCAGACGTTAAAGCTTTCAAAGCATATAGCCCTCCTAACAAGCTGGTCAGCATCACAATTTCCTGTTCGTTTAATTGTAGAAACTGAGAAAGAACGAAAATTATGTCAAAAACACCTACCATCAGCTATAATTGATCTTAAAAGAGAAAAATCTTCATTAGTATCGACTATCATCTTCATCACAGTAGGTGTTGAATATCGACTAAATTACTTTGTTTAATATGCAATATAATCATTTTTTTTTCTTTTCCTTTGTTCATTATACCCTTTTTCTTTTTTCATTTTACTCATAAAATCACAGTAATGATTTAAAACATTTAGTCTCGAGTCTTGACCAAGTGGATCACTTTGTCTTGTTCCGTCGGCGGATGCCCCTCGTGGGTTTTCCTCCATGACACGAGGGCCCCAAAATATACACAAACCCGAGGCTACAAAAAGAAATGCCATTTGTTTGTTAAGAATTAAGACAAATTTACAGTACCCATGAAAAAAATATAAGTATCATATCAAAGTTGATCGAGAATCGTAAATTTTGATTTGATTTACTTTGTAGTTTTTGATTTTTATAATTATAACCTAAAAAGCCTTGATCCATGTCAAAATGTTATCCAACCAAAAGTGAAAGTACTATACCAAAAAAAATTAGATTTTGGTATTATTACCCGACCCCTAAATATAAATTGAGTGGGTGGGGTGTCATATGATTTTTTTTTTTTTGGTCATGCACTATTTTAGGTAAGTAGAAGGCAAGATTCGAATCTACGACTTTAAGATCTAACAAAGGGGGTGGTGACTTTATGTCAGCTGCTAATTTTTAGTGGCATACAACTTGAAGTAATCGAATTTAATAGGATTATTGTATTACAACTTATAAAATTTAAGATATTTTTGAAAAACTGATTGAGGATTGTTCTAATATTGTAACGCAAAAATGCAGATTTTAGAGCATCTTATATCTCATTGCTGAAATATGAGGGGTCCTTGGTGTAAATTAGTAGATAGGCCTGCCTTCTGTGACTTTATTAATTGTATTGGATAATTTATGTTCTGAACTAGTCTTAAAAGTGTATTTTTAGTATCAGGCCCAGATTTCTTGAAATTCCAAACCTAAACACAAAACCATAGGCTGGTGGAGAGGGTTAAATTTTCCTCTGCTGTACTTTTACAATTTTTTGGTTGGATTATCATATATTTAAATTTATTTATCAAAATACTGTTTATGAAGTTGTGCTTTTGCAACATGAATTTACACAAACAGTATATTAGAAACACACTTTCAATGAATAAATATCGAAAGTATGTTTTTGAAACACGGTTTTCATAAAAATAATTGTATTTTGGTAAATAAGTTTAATAAACTATTATGGTAAAGAAAATTTAAATACTTGTGCAAATCAACCAAAAAATTCCTAATATTTGCCTCAGGTGGGTAGTAAACAGACCCAATTGGGTGAAATTGAAGGAAATAAGAGAATCTAAGCTGTAGGAACAGTGAATAGATTAAGTGGATTAAGTTAAATGTGATGAACACACACAAAGAGATACATGTATATTTTGATCATATTTTACCTAATATCATTCTGCAGTCACAAGAGCCCAAGAATACCAATAAACCCAAAACCTCTAAGAGGGTTAATCTTTGGAGAAGTTGATGAGAGCTTACCAATCAACTTGAACCTTTTGCAACGGGTGTAGAATTTCAATTTCAATTTATCTTTTTGTAATGAATACACACAAAATGATTCATGTATATTTTTAACATAATTTACCCAACATTGTCCTGTAATCACAAAAGTCCAAGAAAACCAATAAATCTAAGTCCAAGTCCTTGTTCCACTTTTAAAAGGACTTAACTTTTAATGGAATAGATAAGAACTTATTAATCACCATTAACTTCTTCTCACTTTTATGTATCTTTAAAGTCCAAGACTTGACTATGGTACTGAGAAAAAATTTCGGTACCATAAATCCAAGTTTTATTATTTTAGCGGGTGTTTTTATAATTTTTTTGGATCATTTTATAACAAATATATTTATTACTTTTGTGGTAATTAATTTTACCACTTTTTTCGGTATAAAAAAATTTATTACTTTTATTAATATTTTTATCACATTTATGAATAATTTTTTCACTATTGTGGTAATTATTTTTATCATTTTTTGGGGACTAAAATAATAATAAAATCATTCATAAATATAATAAAATAATTACAAATTTAATAAATAAAAATATGGTAGCAAATATTTTTTTTTCAATACTGTAGTCAAGTCCTAAAGTCCAAGTCTCAAGATCTCTTTTTCTCATTTGTAAATGCATGTTTGCAAATTTGGCATGATTTTGACACATGTGATTTTGCCATTGTTGTCGGCCCTCATCCAACTTTTTTTGTCGAACAAATAATATTTGTATTTAGTTTGGTGATTCAATCTGAACACCCGATCTATTATCGCTTTTAAATAGATGGTGGGTTCTATCTAATTTAAAACTTAAAACTAAATTAATAATTGTAAGGGAAATGTTATTGGGATCTAAAAATCCCAATGGTGCAATATGCTCTCTCTCATATACACCCACAAAAACATAACGGCGACAAAAACAACCAAAATAAATAAATTCCGCTACAATATTTGTACAACATTAGAGTCTGTTCTCGGCAATTAAAGGTCATATTAAACCATCATCTAATTTAAAAACTTAGGTTATAGAAGATGTTATAATCTAATCGTATCACATATGGGTTATATATTTTGCTAAGCACAAAGAATTTTGTAACATTTTATAAACGAAATAGCATATCATGACCAAGTTAAAACGTAGTCATAGCTCTTGACAAGTAGTCTTTATTATATAACAGTACACTTGAAGAGACGAAACCAATTACTAGAAAATGTAAAATAATTAAAAAAAATAGATAATGTAAAATCTATCCTTACAGACTCGAGTGAACCACTGTAAGTAAGGTATGCAAGGATCAGACCATATCAACCCCATAACTCAAGGAAGTAATCTTCCTTCAATGGATAGAACTCTCTGTGAAAAGTCCTCCTCTCTCAAATGATAATTGTTTGAAAGGAATGAAGCACGTTGAGTATTTGTGTTGAAGATAATGGATGACTCATATTCACTAGATATCCAAGAGTCCAATAACCCATGAAGTAAGCGAAGGATATTAGGAGCACAGCGCAAAGGAGAGAGATTAATTGCAAATTATTATTCTGATGTTGTGAAAATAACTACTCTTGCTTACGTAGAAATTTTTTTTCTAAACTATGTTAATCTGTGTATTCACTATTTGATTTCTTTTTTCCTCGTTAATTTTTAAAGTGCACTCCCAAACAAAAGAATATTTTCAGGTGGTCATGTTGGTTGTTACTGATGATGCACAGATTGAGTTTGCATACCACCTATCAAATGAATAGTAATAAATGTAGTAATAAAGTAGAGAGAGAGAGAGAAAGCAACACAATGATTTATAGTGGTTTGGTCAGTGTGACCTATGTCCACTTTGAAGGGCTAGGGTCGCTTGTGTTTTATTACTTCAAGATGTATAGTGAGAGCAGGGAGATACAAGCTAAGACAGAGGAGAGTAGAGGATATGCTCGTTTGAGTGTGATGCCCCCCAAATGTTGTCGGGGCTTACAATTTATAGTCGTCTCATAACAGATTGAGGTGAGTTATTAGTAACTAAGTGACTAATCTGGTGGAGGTGGCGCTATTTTCTCAATGGATGAGGCAGTTACGGTGCTCTCCACAAGATTCGGTCAAATGATGATGTGGAGTTTGACTCTTTCCAAAGCGTTGTGGATGAAGCTTTTGATGACCCTGCTTACTCCTTGGCAATGTAGCTCCTCGAACCCTGATGAGCTTGACCGGGAGTGGATGTCTTTGGGCTGGACACTGGATCTTTATAATTTGGACTCTTAATTTAAACTAGGCTTTCAACATGAGTTAGGCCATTTGGGCCTAGTCCATCATTTGTCCCTCAATGCCCCGTGTCCAATAAAACTTGGAGAAGGGGGCATTTGGTTGAACCTTGAACCCTGGTTGGTGGAGATTTCATCTGACTGATGACTCTTTTCCTTCGTGATATATCTCACCTCTGTATAACATCTCAAGACCTTCCCCATTTTTATTTTGATTCTAGAAGAACATTTGGCTTCAAATAGGGAATTTTGGTGAGGAGGAGAGTGTGCAAAGGTCTAAAAATTTTGGTGAGGAACTCGAATAAATCACTGTTGTCCCTAGAGAGGAAAGGGAGAAGGCGTCACTACTATGCACGAAGATGGGGCGAGCACCGCTAGGGGTGCAGAGGAGGCGAGCGCCACTGGGGGTGCAGAGGAGAAGGGCATGGAGGTCCCTTGGGTGTCATTCATTGCTCGTCCTAGCAACTTGAGAGGGGAGGCAGCACGCGTCATGAGGCCGGGCGCCCATGCAAGTGAGGCGAGGGTGGAAGACCATCTAGGCGAGCCAGTTGTTTGCGCCCAAGGGCTGGGCGCCCGTGTAGGTGATGCCGTCTAGGGGGCTTTTGGCGAGGTGCCTCAGGCGATTGGTACTGGCGAGATGTCGCTGGTGGTGCTGGGCAGTATGAGTGACCCACCATTACCGCTGGGCGAGGCATCCTTGCAGTTGAGTGAGCCTCCCCTGACGCGGGGCTCCTCGGTCAGTATAGGCAAGCTCCCCTTGGCACTGGGCGAGGCACCCTTGCAGCTGGGCGAGCCTCCCTTGGTGCCAGGCCCTTCAGTTGAGTCTGTTATTTGCTATGGTCAGAGCACGAGGAGGCCAACTGGGCAAGGACTAGTTAGCACTGAGGTGGTCTCTTTAGTCAATGGGAGTGAGCGAGCCTAGTTTTGGAGTTAGGAGGCAGAGTACGCGAGCACCTTTGGTGGTGATTATCCGGCTCCTTCAAGTGTAACTTCTCAAAATCAAATTCCTTAAGGCCACCCCGGTAATGGCTTGGGCAATACTTCACGCCCTCGCAACAAAAAGCACCGAGGGAAGGCAGCTCTTGACGATGATGGATCCAAAGTAAATACCATTTCTAGTATGCTCAATACTGATGATGATATTATATGAATTATTTATGCTTATAACATTCCTCCAATGGTACTGTGTTGCCGAGCTAAGATGGGTGAACCTGCTTATGATAACTCATCTTGAGACATTACTATCTATGAGGAGATACTTGTGGTTGGGCTTAAGTTCCCGATGCCTTCTTCTATTTGTCGTATTCTACATTACTTTTCATTGGCACTAGGGCGGTTGACACCCAAGGGTTGAAAAGTTTTGTTAGGTTTTCTAGCATTGTGAAGGAAAGTGCACCATGAGGATGCTTCTCCTAATGAGCTTTATGTAGCTTATACTCTAAGTGAGACTCTTGCTCCTAACTGAGGCTAATACTATTTTACTACGAGATGAGGTAAGTTGATTACCGGATTACCCTCCAATTGTCATAGCTAGAAGCCTCGCATCATGTTCGTCGGCGGAGAGTGGGCTTCAGAGGCTAATATGACTTTGGTACCAATAGGATGGGGTACTCCTAAGAAAGTTAGTACTCCCTACACTTACTCTTTACCTTTTTTTTAAACTGTTTACTCATCACATTCCTTGCATGTTCTTCTATGCTCTTGAAGGACCAAGAGTAGAAGTTGCAAGCTGTGAGGGCTCATCCTGTAATGGACTTTGTGCTTATGCTCAAAGATCGTGGAGCCAGTGGTTCCCATACAGTTGGTGCTAGGGCTGGTGCACCCTCATTGAGATCTGGCAATTCCTCGTTGAAGAGAAAGGGTATGCTGATTTTATCGGGCACCGAGGGAATCATCAGCACTTTTTTGTAAGCCCTGGCTCAGGTAAGGATCTATTGTCTCCCTTTCTACAGTCCTTCCTTAGGCGTTTGACATTCTTTTGCCTTTTGTTTTCTTTCAGGTTTCAACTGCCTTTATATGTCTTTTTTCAAGAACTGTTTATTATAGCCAGCTGAAGCATAGCCATGGAGCTGCGAAGAAGGAGCTTCTTGCTGCTTAGGGGAGGATTGCTGAGCTTGAAGCTAATGATAGGGCTTCTCAGGCTGAGCTTGTGGCTACTCATGAGAAGGCCACACCTAAAGGGGCTGCTTCCATGAAGACTGAAGTGGAGCTTTTGGCGACCTGCGAGAGGGTGACTAAGCTTGAGACTGAGCTTTTGGTGACCAGTGTGAGAGACACGCTTAGAGAGGCTAAGCTTGTGGAGACCAGTAAGAGGGCCACGCTCAGAGAGGCTGAGCTTGTGGAGACTTGCAAGAGGGCCGTGCTCAGAGAACTTGTCTGCTTGAGAACTAAGACAGAGGTGAAGGCAGCTCAGAAGAGAGCTTCTCGGGCTGAGGCGGATCTGCTATTGGCTCGTGAAAGGGCTGTCAAGGCTAAGAGTGATTTGGAGACTAGCCTTGTAGATGCCTTTATTGAGGGTTATGAGGAGTTTCGGGAAAATATTTCTGTTGCTTTCCCTGATATTGATCTTTCAGGCTTCGTGCCATATAAGGCGCCTGATGATAGTGATGGAAGTTCTGGTGATGCCGAGGGTGATGAGAAGGAGGATGATGATGACCACGAGAGTAGTTAGAGTACTAGGGACTTTTATTTTTTATTTTTTTAAAAAAAAAAGGCAGTTTGTAGCCTTACTTTTGTAAAAGTAGTTTTTTTTACCACTGACGCTCCTTTGAAATTGAATGCAAAAATGCAAAGATCTTTTGGAGTAAATTTAGAAAGTTTTATTCATTCACTGCTTATGTCAAGAAATATCGGGAAATAACCCCAAAAAAGGTACAAAAAATAAAATCAAGTTCCTCAACTTCACTACTTTTACTCTCTGAAGGTGTCATTGGTAATACCTCTTCAGATGCTCAGTGTTCCACAGATGGGGTAAGACCTTCCTCTCGAAATTCTGGATCTTGTAGGTGTTTGGCCTCATCACTTCTATTATGAGTTAGGGTCCTTCCTAGTTTGGTCCCAACTTTCCTTTTGGAGAATCCTTTGTGGCGAGTATCACTTTTTTGAGGATCAAGTCTCCTGGTTGGAAGGAATAAGGCTTCACCATAGAGTTGTAATATTTTGCCATACAGCGCTTGTACTTTGCATTGCGAACCACATCCATTTCCCTTGCCTCCTCCACCAAGTCGAGGTTAATGTGAAGTCCTTCCTCGTTGGTGATGGAGTCGTGGTGCTGAACCCTTAGAGAATGTACTCCAGTCTCCATCGGTATGATTGCCTCAGTTCCAAAGGCGAGGGAGAAAGGGGTTTTTCCAGTTGGGGTTCTTGGCGTCGTTTGATAGACCCATAATACACCTAGGAGTTCGTCAACCCAGATACTTTTCGCTCTTTCGAGCCTTGTTTTTAGGTTGCGTAACACTGTTCTAACCATGACTTCTGCCTAGTGAAATGCACTTGTCACACTTCTTGGTAAATTGTTTGGCGTCCCTCACCATGCTAGGCCATAAGTAGTCCTCCTTGAGTGCCTTATGGGCGAAGGAGCGTCCTGTAGAGTGACTCTTATAAACCCCTTCATGAATTTCTCGTAGGGCATAGTTAGCTTCTTCTAGTGAAAGTCACTATAGTATTGGCAAGGAGTAGCCTTTCTTGTACAAGATGTCTTGTAAGATGGTAGATTTGGATGCTTTCATCCTGAGTTTCTTGGCTTCCAGGGGGTCATCTGGGAACACGCCCTCCTGGAGGTAAGCCCTTATCGGGGTCATCCAGTTTGATTCAACAGACATACAGCTGACATTTGTGGCTTCTACATTTAACTTGCTTGGTTCAAACTGGTGACCGATGAATGCAAGTCCTGGTGGGGCTTCCGAGGATGAGGCGAGCTTGGCCAGTGCATCGGCATCCATGTTGTCCTCCCTTGGGATGTGGCAGATCTGAAAGTATTGGAACTTCGTGAGCAAAGCTTTCATCATGGCAAAATACTCATGTATTGTCGTTCCTTTTGCTTTAAATTTGCTCTTCACTTGGTTGACTATCAACTGAGAGTCACTATAAGCGATAAGGTGTTGGGCTTCCATTTCGATCGCCAGCCTTAGGCCAGATAGGAGGGCTTCATATTTCGTCTCATTGTTGCAGGCGGTGAAGTGGAGCTTTACAACATACTTGATGGAAGTGTCGTCGTGGGGATGCTGGATTCCTTCTAGCTCCTTGGTCTGAGAAGCATATTGTGACACCCCAAAAATCGGGGGTTCTTTTTCAACCGTTGACCACCCGTCACCCTGCGGAAGTACCCGTGATTATCGCACAACCCGATATTACGTCAATAGTATCCTCTTAACCGAGATTATAACCCACACGTGTAACTCGTGTACATTTTTATCATTTAATCTAACCATGGTCCAATGTATCACTTTTCATACTCCATTATAGTCTATTTACATCATTTGGAAGGAAGGACTAATAGCCCAAATGCATAGCAAAACAGTTTTCAAATTTTAAATTTTTGGAAGTCCTACCGGTATGACATACTCGTAGGGTGAGCCTACTAAAAAATCCTTACTAGTAGGGTATACCGGTAGGGTTTGCCTATTGAAAAATTCCTACCGATAGTGTTTGTTTACTGGACAAAGTTGTACCAGTATGCCCTACCGGTATGAGTTACCCACTGGACCTCGTCATACCGGTACACCCTACTAGTATGGTTTGCCGACTTTTGCCTGTTTCACCTGTTTTGCATTTCCAACTCATTCCAACCTATATTGACTCTATCCAACACATGTATATGAAGATTTTCATATTACATAGGATTCATACCAACTCTTTTACATTCATTTCAATGAATTTACATATCAAAAACAAGGTTTTCATAAATATTTACAATATTCAAAATAAAGCCACATTTCTGCTTTCTTCATCTTTGAGATCTCATGTGAGGGCCTTCCTCCGGCGTGTATCCCGTACCTAAAATATTTTTTCGCATAAAGTGAGCTATGCCTAGTAGAGTATTTCCTACCGAGGCAATTTCTCCAACCTAAGTGCATATGAAATGTTTATGCAACACTCAACAAATAACAACATCCCAAACAAAAATATATTATTCAATGTTGGAATATTAGAAATGTCATGCCATGAAATGAGATGAGACTCACTCATGCAACTCAACTCGAGCCCTCCCTGACTCCTTTTCTCCCATGCAATGCCATGAGTATAAAATCAAGATTTCCAAGCCCTCGCCATTGGCGTTACATGCCCAATGACTATTTAAAAATCTCTGGATCTTGCTTGGAGTGGGTATTTATGGACTTACACCAACGGCACCCAATCGACACAGAATTCATGGACTTCCACCAACGGTTCCACGTACACCGACACACTTTGTGGGCTCTTATACCAAATGAGTGCATATCCGATCACCGGGTCCCTCACCCGAGGGATAATCTAGCCGTTCTTGCTAACCCCGACCCAATTCTTTATCCATACAACCATGCGACTCAGTTGGATCTTCGATCTAACTTTTTCAAGCCCACCCATCATCCACTTATTTGGTGTTTGATATCAACCATGCAAATACACACCCACACTCATGGCTATGGATGCAGTTCCTCTGTGCAAATGCAATGTAATGCGTCATTGCTATATCAATGTGATGTCCATATGTAATGAATGTCACATGAGCAAAATTAACCACACATCTACATATTTCATGACCAATTATATCATATGCATATAATCACCAAACTTTATCACAATGTTAACATATCAATAAACATACATCAACATTTTATTTCCAACAATATATCTCAAGCATGTTATTACATAACATATGCCAATAACATACTTCATTCACGAAGACATAACATAAAACATAACATGCCCACATAAAAACAT